TACTACTCAGCCATAAAAAATGAGAAATTAGAGACATTTATAGCTAAATGAATACACATTGAGGCGATACTCTTAAGTGAAATAAATAGGACACACGTGTAAATACTGAATAGTTTCTCTAGTGTGAGAAACTGAAAACGTAAATAAGGACTAAAAGGTATGGTAGAGAATGTGAAATAGGAAGAAAAGGGCCAAAGGGGAAGGAGAAGTGGGAGGGGCAGGGGAAAGGAAAGAAGGGAATGGCATTAATATGAGAAAATGAAAAAATGGAAACAAAGTCTTTGTAAATAGGGAGGGATGGAGGGCTTGATGGAAGGTCAGGGGAAGGGGAATAAATAAGAAACAAGAGAGATTATGTAAAGGTGCATATCTCCAATGATGAATGTCATTATATTGTATACCTAAAATGTACCAATAAAATAATATTAAAAAAAGAACTACTAAAACTGATAGTATTTTAACATTGGTAGTACAGATAATGTTTGCATATCTCTAGCTAAAGTGCCAAAGATAAATGTTTATTTATTCACACACACACATACACACACACACCTCTTTCCTTCTTGTCTTCCTCCTTTGCCCACTAGACCTTACCTCAGCTCCTCAGTTCCTAAGTTTGGAGCTTTATCATGACACTCAAGTCTCCCAGGGATTAGTAGCATGATAGTATCCTGTACTACATTTTATAATTAGAAACCTGTAATGCATGTATTGTGACTTGATGCTTTTGCTCCTCCTTCATCCCCTCCCATTTGGTTGTTCTCATCTTTAAGATTAAGGATGTATTTCTATTGCTCTTTATCAAACAGTGATCTTTTATATCTTCTAAATTTTCTCCAATGGAAAAAAATATCCTTTTGGGAAGGAAAAGGAAAAAAAGCATTAACTATGTTTTAACAATTCAAGTTTTAAAATGGCACATACAAAATTATCCACATCCTGAACCAAAGTGATACATTCATTACAGTTGATGAACCTATGCTGCTACATCATTTTCAAAGTCCATAGATTACATTAGAGTTTACTTGGTGATTTTATGAGGTCTGATTAAAAACATGGTGAATGCTATTGCTAACTATTATCCAACAGAAATGCAGGCTAGTAAAAATATTATGGTGTGTCCTCATCCACAATATTCACTAGATCTGGCACTGTGCAACTTCTGGCTCTTCCCCAAAGTTAAAATGACCATAAAAGGTAAACATTTTGAATCAATTTAGGACATCAATTAATCACGACAGCCCAACTTTAGTTGAGAATCTTTAGAATCTCAGAAAATAGGACTTCCAGAACTGCTTCAGAAGGTGGCAAGAATGATATTTATCCCAAAAGCAAGGTGGAATTAATGGCAATGAGTCTTTTACTGTAATAAATTTTTTGACACAGGGTCTTGCTACCTAGTTCAGGCTGGTCTTGAGATTACTATATAGCTCAGACTGACCTCAAATTCATAGAGATCCTCCTTCCTCAGTCTCACCAGTGCTGGGATTACAGGTATGCATCACCATTCCTGGCAGTAATAACGTTTTTAAATGTAAACATTCATGGTAGTTTTAAATCATACCTTTAAAAAGGGTTGGTTCATGTAAATGAGACGAGGCTAGCCAAGTTTGTTGGCTGTTAATTAAGATGTGTTATGTGTAATTACCAACTCCCCACAAGGAATGTAATCATTATGTACTAATAATTTTTTTTTTTAAAGTTGGGATTCTCTCCAACGGAGGCTTGGAGGCAGAAGCCTTATTCTTTTCCTGAGCTGGGAAAGATACATATTTACAAGGGTAACTGCTTCTCAGTAAATGCCCCACAGATGATTGAGACCTATCTAGCAAAGCTTAGTTTAAGTTTTAGGCAAGGAGAATATGGGAAGAAAGGCAAGGAGTTTAAAGGGCATAAGGCTTTGAGGAATTTAGAGGGATTTACTCACTACAGCACTGTTGTTACCATTTATTATATACCAACTCTTTCCGAGCAATGATTAAGAGTCAGGGCTTTGACCTTAGGAGACCATTCCATTTAATAGCTGGATGATCTTGGCTAAGCCTCACATTCTTTTTTTATATAAAATAATAAGTTAATGAAATAACATCTGGAAAATGAATCAGTTCATGGAATGGAAAGACTTGTATAAGACCAAGAAGTAAATTGAAAGATACAATTCAAGGATAATAGGATTGCTCATTCCGAAATTTAAAAAATATTTCTCCTTAAACAAACAGAAGGCAGGAGGCCTGGTGAGATTCCAAAGCGTAACTTAAAAAAATGTATCTCTCCTTTTAGCAAACTAAAGGAGGTTCATCTTGATACCTATAGTGTATTGTACTGTTATCTACTTTTCTCCATTTTTCTTTTAACAATGCAAGGTGAACATGTAGTACACATGAATCTACCTCATTATTTTAAATAGCTACTTTATCACACTGCACTGAAAATAATGAGGACGTGGCTGAAACTTTGAATAGACATTTCTCAAACTAAATATATATACATGACCAATAAGTGAAAAGGTGCTCCATACCTAAGTTATTCAGCAAGTGATGCAACTGTTTTGCTAAGGCTCTTGCAAATGCTGATGTCTAAACATCAAAATAACTGCTTTTGAGTACTGTCATGTGGGTAAGGTTCCTGCTCCTCTGATTTTTACCTACTTTGAATTTTACTTGAAGCTAGAAGAAATCAACTTTCCTCTTAGTCTTTGCTTTTTACAGAGACTGTGGTGACTGTGTATGGAATCTGGAGCTGATTTTCAAACACACGTCTTCTTGTCAGGTTCCTAGTGAAAACATTTATATGAAATTACTCTCAGTAATGAATGAGAATCTTGATGAATCTATTGGCTTTGCATTTTTACTTCTTTTATTTTGTGATGTCAGGCTGGCTATGTCTTAGTGTAGTTTTAAAGTTCCTCAGAGACTGTTTAATCTTAAGACTTTCTATTAACATTAGGATTTATTATAAAGAAAAAATTGTTATTGGGAGATGCAGTCTGCCATATTCCTTGAACATCCCTGAAAGTTCTTATTGGGTATGCCAAGAATGTAATGCCCTGACCACTTTTCACCCTGACAAATCATTTTTCATTGTGTTTGCAGCAACCAGTTTTGAGGGATGGGGTAACATTTTCCGCTGGACATACAGAAGGCTTGCTTCTGTTTACTACGAAAACTGCAAATTCCCCCCAAACACTGGCTTTCTTTCCTATAATGTAAAACATTGTATATTTAAGCCTATGCCACTTTATGGAACTCAGGGATCAAAAGGAGTCGATACAAAGCAACATGAAGCTATGGCTACCACTTAAGTTGTAATAATGTCCTTGTTACCTGATCTAGAAGTCTAGTGTGTTCTGCTGGTATCCATTAAATGGTATAAGCTAGCTTGTAAGCTTATAAATAGAGTAAAGCCTCCAACTCTGCACTGTTCTTGACTTGCCTTGCAGATATTATCATTAAAACAGTTATGCTATGTTAGGGAAATATTTCCTAACAAGATGTTTTTTGCCATATTTGTGACATGCTTTTAATATTGTATTCTACCTAATGTTGTTCTTTAAACGGACTCACTTATATAATTGCTGTAATTTTTTGAAAAGAAAATTCTATACCACCCACAATCCTATTATTTTCTTTAAAGTGAAAATACACGTTAATACACATTCAAATAATACATGAAAATTATAATTTAAAATAATTGTGTACTATCTATGATCATGTCCCCCTACCACCAGGCCCTGCTATTTTAACCCTACATTCACTGATTACATCAAGAGCAGTCACGTCCTAGACAATGACTACAATAACGAATGTTTCTACTTAGTGATTTTGAGTTATTATCTTGTGACATTAAAAAATTCCCTTCAAGCTCCCTCTGAGAAGGAAAAACAGCAATGGGGACAGAAGTCCTCCTGCAGGCAACTCTGTCCAGAACATCCTGGGCCTCAGTTCTGAAGTCTAGCACCTGCTGCAAGCTGGAGCAGAGAAACTAAAGGAAGGCCCATGCTACAGAGGAATGTAGTTTGGGTGAGCCCCTCCACATGCTGGCCAAGTGCCACACACCTCTGAATGCCAGGGGGCTGAATTTATCCTGCCTTGTAAAACAGGCACAGTGAGTCCCTGGAACCTTTTCTCACTCCAGTTGAAATTCCAGTCCCAACCTGCACCTGTCGTGCTGCCATACCCTTGAAAAATGGTCTGCAGACATGAAAAGCTCTTGAAATATCACAGAAAAAAATGACACACACCTTACATAGCACTTTCGTATATTTCCAGTCAGGGATGTGAGTATCCCCAAATCTGACTTAAATCTCCCTTTAAAATTTGTTCCCTGTCTAGGATACCTGTTGAACCAGTAAGTAGGGCCTATCACCACCAGTCTTCAGAAAAAAATTACTCAGCCAAAGAAATAGAAGCTAGGAAGATACAATGGCATCTTCAGACCCAGAGCAACAATTTTGTTATTGTTATTTGTTAATATTTGTTAACGTCTGTTATTCAGACTTGTCTAGTCAAACTCCTAGATGGACCCAGCATGTCTGAACTGTATAAAGGGAAAAGGTTAAAATCTGAAAATTGCCAATGTATCTATGAGACATCATTGCCAAGGAGCACTGCCTAAGTGTCTACCCAAATTGAAGAGGTAGGCATCTCCTCAATTATGTACAAGTCATTCTGGGGATTCAGACCACTGGATGTTCCAAAAGAATAAGCTAGGCTTCACTAGTTAAGAAATCAAGCACATCACAGCCATAGGGGCTTGAAATGTGCAGGATCTGGCAAAAGGGGGAGGAATACTCAGAATACATGTTAGTATCAAGAGAAGGTAGATGGGAGGCTGGGCAAGCACAGAAAGACAGAATATAAAGGTGGCATTCAGCTATCAGTTTCCTGGATTTGTTCTCAAGTACAGATGTCAACTACTTTTTCCATCACTCCAAATAGCTGAAACAAATCTCTAGGGAGTTTGGACCTTGCATGAAAAGATGGGCACAAAACCCTGTCAAATAGCTCTCAATCATTTATTTGACCTCCATGATATTTCTGTGAGATTATGATGCTTATTTTACAGACGAGAAGAGATGTAAAATTCAGTCTAGCTAAATGGTTTGGTGGCACTTTGAATTTTACATTTGCTTATAATATTAAGTAATAAGTGCTCCAGTACTTTCAGAAATAAGCTGCTAAGTACTGTTGGTTGCTCCTTTTTTAGTTATAAAACATTTATTATTTTAACAGCAATAATGTGTGTTCATTTTAAGAATGTGGAAAATACAAACAGAAGAAAAATCATTCATAATCTCACCACTGAGACTGTACATTTTGTCTTCCCATCAATGACTGTACATTTTGTCTTTCATTCTTCACAAGTTTTCATATCTATATATGTTGCATACAAATGTATCTTTACCTTTCAAAAATACCGTATTAACATATGACTGACCAATTTAGTAATCTTTTTTCATTTTGTATCACATTAGGAACATTTTTCTTTTATAAAAGAGTAAGGTTTTCATACTAAAAACAAAAGAGAGGGAGGAGGGATGGTAAGGGGATGTAAAGAGAATTAAGATATGTTATGTTCATGTACCAACTCACCACAATGAATGTAATCATTATGTACTGCAAACATGTACTAATAAACAACTTTAAAAAGATAAAGACTTGTAGATTGGCTCAAAATACAATAAACAATGAGATGCAGATAACAAGAGATACATCTAAAACCACTAAAAATAACAGGCTAAAGTAGAAAGACAAAGATATATTAATAAAATGCTAATGAAAAGGTATATGTCAATGTTAATATCAAATAACACAGAAATCAAACTAAACTACATTAAATAGGGATAAGGATGACTTCGATTAACCTTCCAACGCATCACTGTAAGTTTGTTTCTTACTCTCCTTATCTCATCTATTTCATCCACTTCTCTAAACTTATCTTCACTGCTTAAGTGCCTGTTGTGTATATCTTCTTTAAATTCCTGGATAGATTGAATCAACCTTTCTCTAAAAGTTTTTTCTGCATTTTCTTCTTCTGGTTCTTTGTCCTCCTCTGGCTTTTCCTCAGGCTTTGGTTCTTCCTCAAACTTTGGCTCATTCTCATTTTCTGGTTTTTCTTCAATTTTTTGACAGGATTTCATCTTTTATCTGCTTTCCTTCTTCCTTCCTTCCTTCTTCTTTTTTTCTTTTTTCCTGTGTATTCCCCTTTGAATGCAATTATTTCTAGGAAGTAAGGAGGCAGTAAGTCAAAGGCTTGGTGAGTGTACAGGTGCTCTGCATAGAGTTCTAGGCATTTGCTTTTTGAGTTTCAGATCTATCGTTACCAAATATTTTCCACCCAAGAAGCCCAGCCCTCTGGGTTACCTTGACCCGCCCTCCCTTCATATCCCCACTTTCTCTGCCTCCCTTCGGTCTGGTCCCTTGTTCCAGCCTTTTCCAAGCTCCTCCTTTCAGACTCTCAGCCCTCCCCAAACCCTTCTGTCTCACAGATCGTAACATCTATCTCCTAGAACAGAGTGGCTGGAAGGAGAAGAAAGGAAGTGGCAAAGAGAAGGGACAGTGTGGACCCTCACCCACGACCATGCCAGGAGTCTCTACAATGTCTCTCTCACTTACCTCGTGCCGTTCTGGTCAGTTTCTACTTCCTAGGTTTTTACCTTTGGGCGGTGCTAAGAACAGATCCGCAGACAAAACGGAGAGGGAGGGGGTGGGGCGAGGGCTTGATAGGCCGACCAGCAGCAGAGAGCAAGCACTGTAGCTTTAGCTTTCCTCATTTCAGGTCTCCGCAATAAAAAGTTTCCCATCCCCCCCCCCCGCCCCCGCAGCTTTCTCCATACTGCAAGTTAGCTCGTCTTTCTCATCAGACAAGGAGTGGGAAAAGCTGACTATTTCCGAACTATCTTTACGGAGGCGATGTTTGGGGACCGGGTGAGTGCTGGGAAAGAGGTCTGAGATTATTTTAAAACTATTAGGGTTTCCTTATCCGCCTCTCCGACACCTAGTTCCTTTCCTAAGGATCATTATTTCCTGCAGTCCTAGAGGTAGAAGGTAGAAGGATGGACTTGACTAGGACTCCTTCAAGTCTCCACCTTAGACCACCTCCACACTAGAAGTCCCCGGGCAACGTTCATACTGACACCAACCTGTAAAATGCTGATAAACTTCCTCCTTTCCCTGGCCTCAGGCAGAGCCGCCGGTACTGCTGAAGGAAGCTGGTACCCACACGGGAACAAGGACCAGACTAGCAGGACTTCTGCACACGTCGACTTGTGGTCACATGAGATCTACGTCAGCAGTGAGGTCAGGTCCCCAATTTCCACTCCCACCAAAAGCGTGGCAGACGTGGGGTCTGCCCCCTACTCCCTCCCCGCACTCCCTCCCCTTCCTTATATAGTTACTTGCGTCAATCTTTTCTGTAGGTGCCCATCCCAGAAAGAAAAACATTATTTGCTGTTCTCTGATAACTAAGGAAGGGATACATCTTTTTCTAGACCTATTAAATTTTTTACTACTTTCAAGGGTTGTCACTCCCTGTCTTTTCCCGGGATTATTAACTCCTCCATCCATTGACCCTCCTCCAGCCTCCATTTCCTTTGCAATCTTGTCTTTAGCTGTTGTGGAGCTGGGTGGGATGGACAGCAGTTGTAAAAATAAATTTAAAAAACTTAGATCAAGAGGGAGATTTTTAAATCCAATTTTGACTACGTTCCTAATATTTCTGTAGTTTTTTTAAAATCAACTTCTATCTTTTTATAGTCAGAAAAGACAAAGAACAATTTACTTTAGTTGTGTGAATTAATATATGTACAGTGCTTAGAATAATACTTGGCATAAACTGTTAGTAGGTACTTTAAAAGTGCATACTGTTATTTTAATTATATTATGATTTCATTTAGGGGGAAAATGTTAAAAATGGAAGGAAATAATGTTTGGCTCTAAAACCATGGTGATGTGTTGCCAAGATGCTGTGCTGCCTGAAGAATAATCAGTCGATCAATTGTCAGGTGCATATTGTGAGCCCCAGTTTCTTCATCTGAAAGAAGATAATAATAACATACAATTCATAGAACTGATTGTTGATGTCTTTTTTTTTTCAGTGCTGAGGAGCAAACCTAGGGCCTGGTGCATGCTAGGTAAACCCTCTACAATTGAGCTGTATCCCCCTGAAAGATAACACTGATGTAAGGCATTTGGCTAACAGACAGTCTTTGACAAATATTGGTTGCCTTTGGTAAAAGTCACAGATTTGTAAAGAACTGTATAATTTTTAGAGGCAATATTTAAAAGATAAAACAAGGAACCATCAAATGTATTTTTATATGGTATAAGCTCTGATGGCCCTTTGTGAAGGAAAATAAAGAGCTCAATGGATCTTGTGGAAGGGAAAAAGTCTTTAACCCTTGTCATTTTATTTCCCTTGATACCCATCACATTACTATATCTTCTGGGAAGCATGTGCATTTGTGCACTAGGAAACTCAATATATAATTCTTTGTGTCTGCTTGACAGAACACTGATAAGAGGTACAGGAGCTATTAGTCCCTGCTGTAGTTTTGATAAGGTTTAAATGTGTCCCCCAAGGGTTTATGTGGCAGAAGCTTGGTCCCTAGTGTGGTAATGTGGGAGGGGATGGAACTGTTAAGAGGTGAAGCCTACTGGGAGGTCATTAGGAAATGTAGGGTAATGCTCTCTAAAGAAATTAATGTAGTTCTCATGGTACACCCTGGTTTGCACAGGAGAGTTGTTATAGAACAGTGATTCTAACTCTTGAATTGCTCTCAGGTTTTTTGTCCTGCCATGTGATCTAACCCTCTTGCGTGTACTCATGCCATGATACCATTCACCATGCTGTGTTGTAGCCAGAAGGCTCTTGCCAGAGCAGAGTCAATGTTGATGCCATGCCCTTGGATGTACAGAACCGTGACATAAATAATGGGTTATCTTTATAAAGTACCCAGCCTCAGATATTTTAGTATAGTAGTAGGAAAAGTACTAATACAGTTCCAGTGCCAGACTTAGAGCTGACTACATACCTTCAATAATTTACTCTCCTTTTATTGGGTTTACCTGCTAAAAAGAATTGAGCACAGACAAACACTCACAACTTCAAAAGAAGCAAGGGATCTGTAAAATATTTGGATATATTGTCTCTAGGGAAGATTAAAAATCTTGAACAGCAGTGGCTTTTTGCTGGCTTCATAGAAATGGTTCTAGAAACCTTTTGAATGTCCTTAACAGGGAAAGGTGCTTTGCTGCCATTATTAACTTTTGTATGTCCAACAGCCCTGCAAGGAAGATACTTCATTTCCATTTTATATATTAAAAAAACTAAAGAATTTAGGTCATATGCCAAAGTTATCACCACCTTAAACCTGAGCAAAGAATACCTCTGCTCAAGGCCTCTAGCCCTCTTGATGGTGTCTTTCCCATGAAGTGGTGAACCAATTGGGCATGATATGCCTAGTTGGAATCTTCTCTTCTTCCAGAACATACAATAGATATCTAGAATCTTATATCCTGCCTGTCATGGTTTGGATGAGTGTCTCCCAAAGGTCTATGTGTTATAGGCTTGGTCCTCAGCATGGCCACATTGGGAGGCTCTGTGGATCTTTAAGAAGTAGGGACTTGTAGGAGGTAGGTCTTTATTTATGAGGCTTTATATTTTATTTGGAAATAATACTGTTAAAATGATTTTGATATTTTCCTACACGAACTTACATTGTTTTTTCCCAGCTGTAATCTTGGTTTTATGTACAAATACATAGCTACCATCTTATTTTTGATGTATACCCTAGAAGGGTAAAAAACCAACCAAAAAGTTATGTTTTGTATATGCAGTATAAGATTTCATGCATTCTCATGATATGATATCAATAATCAACTATAGTAAACTAACTGTAGCAATGTAGTACATGCTTTAAGTATCCTATAAAGAATACACTTCAGGCAACATCTCAGTGGCAAGGGGATGTGCTGGTATTACATTGGACTGATGTGGTAACAGTTAAGGAAAGTAAACACATTATTATTCAAATTAAAACATAAAAAGAATAAAAGATGTAGATTTTCAGGTCTACTTTACAGAATATTTGTCTCTGAGGCAATTACAAAATAGATTTGGGTTTTAAGGGATTTTTAAATACATAACAAGTCATTTCCTGTATTGATTTGAAAAAGTATGAGAACATATGAACATATGAATTGGTACTTTAAGATTTACTTTTGTAAAAGCATATTGACAAATGTTAAATGTTTAATCTGCATTTGAACATTAAAACAAATAAAAAACACAAAAATCTTATGTTAATACTGATCTCCCATGCCTAATTTGGATTTAAGATATTGAGTAATTTATATTTTATGGAAAGAAACTTTCAAAGATTCAATGCTTTTATTGTATATACTATTTTTGTTTACCAAAACTTTCACTGAAATTTAAAAAGCTGGTGTTAAGAGTAGTTATTTTTCTTGAATATTCTATAATATGCCATTTTGAATTAACCTTCAAAATTTCAGAGCATGAAAGATATATGAACAGAGTACCCCAAAATATTTTTTAACACAGGTTAATTTTGTTTATAATTATGACAGAAACATCTTTAAAGATACTAAAAGACAAACCGAAAAACCCTACACAAATATAAAAGGTGTTTTGGGTCAAATTATTTTTTAGTACAAATAATATACCATGTCAAGCAATTTCTCGATCAAATTCACAAAAGCATTAAAAAATTGCAGTTTATAATTGTTAAGCAATGCATTTATGTAGTAGAAGAAGATCTAAGAAAACTTACCGAACCAAAATCTCAAACTATTCCAACTCCTGAAATAAGAGATTCCCAAGTTAAGAAATTACCAATACTGCTTGGAAAGTATGCCTTACTCCTACTGTCTAATTCACTTTAACTGCTTGGTATATAATTTAGTACCTTAAAAGACTTTAGCTAAATAGTTCAATAGTTTTAGAATGTTACCTCTCTGGATAGACATGTTTCACATAATAGTTTTCAATGAAGAAGAAATCACTGGATAGTTTTAATCACAATTTATGACCAACTGATTAATGGATTAACAATTTATTCAGTAATTTAGAAAACCAACAAAAGGAATAAATATGGTAATTCTTCACTATTCAATTTGGTCCATTAGTAATACCAAGCCAAGAATCTGACAGTCTACT